TGAAGTCCACAAGTTTAAAAGTTGCCAAGTTTGGAGATCTCTGCTATACAATGAAGCCAAAGATTTCTCCGCAGGGCAGGAGGCCCAGCTGGATGACCCAGCCTCCTTTCCAGCCCTTCTGTTCTGAGGTCCTGGAGAAGCTCATCAGCTAACCCAGCAGAACCTGGCCAGAATCCATAAGAGAACCCCGGAAGGGGCCCATGTGGGGTGCCCACCTTTGGCTGCGTCTTCTGCCAAGTGCAGCCGATCCAGACCTTCCTTGTAAGCCAGCCGTCCTGGGCTCAGGACTTCCCAGGCTGTTGGAAAAGGAAGGACCACCATTTTACTCCAGCCCAAACCCAAGCATCCCTCTGGCATCCATCCCCCCAAGCCTAGTTGTCAGTGGGGCCAGGAAGAGGCTGCCTTGGCCATAGCAGCTCCCTCTCTGCAAGGGAGAGTCCTGGGGCAGGGATGCACTGACAGCTTCTCCCTCCCCTGCCCGCCCCCTCCTCCTGTGTCAGAGGTTTCCTCCCCCCCTCCCCCATCAGAAATGGTATATTAGGTCAGTCCTCCTCCTGCCTTCCACTCAGAGGACCAGAGGACCCACAGAGAGGTGAGTGCTCTGGGGGGAAAAGGGGAAGCCAACTCCATGTTCGAAAGGGAAGTAGCAGGGGCCCCAGGGAGGCCCACAGACCCCTCTGCTGGGGGCCTTGGCTGCTGGCAGGGCACGGTTAGAGGTTTCAGGCTTTTTCCCCCCCTCACTTCAAGTCAGTATGGACTCTGGACTCTCCCGGAAATTTTTCTTGCCAAGAGGGAGGAAGGACCGCAGGGGCCCCAGCTAGCTTGGAGTCTCTGCCCCTAGCACAGGAGTCAGCAACTCGTGGCTCCGGAGCTGCATGTGGCTCTTTCATCCCTCTGCTACGGCTTCCTGTCGCTCAAAATACATGTCACGACAACCGCCAATGTGTGTGACATCCCCCGGCATGCGATTTATTGAGCTTTTCGACTCCCGGTAGGCCAACCATGGGTAAATCCAAGAAAAGAAAAGTTTCAGAAGAAAACAGAAGGTTAAATTCAACTACGTATGCCAATTTTGTAGCCGCTCAGGAAATAGTCAGGCACGGGAAAGGTTTTGTGGCTCCCGGTGTTTTCTGTGGGAAACAGGTTCCAATGGCTCTTTGAGGGTTTAAGGTTGCCGACCCCTGCCCAGTTCCGGGCTTGGGGGGGGGGGGTGATGCTCAAGGGAGGAGCTGGGTTTGGGCCTTTGGAGCTTCCCAACCTTAACCTCACAGCAGAACCTCTCTCCTTCCTCCTCCCCAGCCGGGGCCAGTCTCCTACAGCCTCCCTTTGCCTCTCCTCGCACAGATGCCGCTGGGAAAGTGGGCAGCTTTGGTGGCCATGGCCGTGGTGATGGAGACCACGGCTGCTTTCCCCTCCTCACGTAAGTGTCTGTTTTTTTTCCCCAGAGGGGCCCAGAGAGGGCCATGGGTCAGATATCTCGGGTCCTTTGCAGGTGGCTGTGCCCAAAACACCTTCCCTAGAATTCCCCCAAATTTCAGCGGTCTCTTCCACCACCACCACCCAAAAAAAAACCTGAATGGAAAAGCTAGCATTAGTTACCCCAGAAGCGGTGGGAAATTTCTGGCCGAGGGGAAAAGTCACCTGTGTATAGGCAAAGAGGGGCAGAAGAGCAGAACCACCTGCCCTCAAAAATTTCTTCCTTCTTTTCCATGAAGGAAAATTTGCCATTCCTGCCAGAACTTAATGAGGGTTGCAGTTCTGGTAGCCAAGATGAGCAACTAGGAAATTGGAGCCATGGGTACAGGAGGGCTGGGGTGTGTGTGTGTGTGTTAGATATGCCTAGGAGAGGCGCAGAAGTTGGGAAGCGGGCAAAGGGCAGAGCCAGCCCTCGCCATATCTTCCGCACAACGGCCACCAGAAGACAGCAGGCAAGGAAGGCTCCGCTTCTCCCAGGTGGGATTCTACTGGTTCAGACCGGTTCGTACGAACCGGGTGTTAAAATTTGCATCTGGTTCACTGAATCGGTATTTGAACCAATCAGCTAGTCCCTCTCACCCCTCCCCTCCCCTCCCAGGAGTTTCCAAGCCGCCCATTTTTTTATGCAGGTAAATGCAGGGTCCACACAGAGGCTGTGGGAGGGGGGGGGAACGGGCCTTCTGGAAGTATTGGAAGTCCAGAAATGGGCCTGTTTCCAGCTTCTGAAGGGCCTCCGGAGCCTGGGGGGGCTGTTTTTGCCCTTCCCAGAGGCCCGAGGGAAGCCTCCGGACCCTGGGGAAGGTGAAAACAAAACAAAAAAAACTCCCTGAAAATCTGGTAGGCCATGCCCACCATGGCCACGCCCACCCCGCAACTGGGCAGCGAACCGGTTGCTTGGATTTTTTAATCCCACCCCTTCCCAGGAAAGAAGCACAGAGTTGTGTGTGTGTGGGGGGGGAGCTTTTCTGGAAGGACAGGAGAGCAGCCAAGCCCCACCTTGCGTGGAGGGAAGGCAGCGCACTGTGCTGAGATGCGCCCTGAGGCTTCTGGGGGCGGCAGCATCCTATCTTCTGCTGCTCTGGAAAACATAGGGCTTTCCTCCCGAAACCTGTGCACCTGAAATTTGGGCCTGGGGTGGAGCTCCCCCCTCCCCTCCCCCCCCAGAAAAAAAATCTCTGGCCACCAACTATAGCTGCCCTGAATGCTCAGCTCTGAAACCGCTTCGGGGCTAAAAGCAGGCTGGCCTGGCAGGGGCCCTTCCAGCCCCAGCTGAGTCTCCGTTTTTGCCCTCAGTGCTGATTAAGAACGAAGACGACAGCATAACATGGAGCTGCTCCGGTTCCCCTGGAGAACAAGTGGAGTGGAAGTGGAATGGCAACAGGCTGAAGGACTCGGGCCAAGAGCTCGTCATTAACAACCTGGACATCCCTTATACCGGAAACTATTCCTGCTGGGCCGGACCCCGGCTGCTCCAAAGCTTCTACGTGGTCATGCGGATGAAACATACCTACTTTTTCAAGACGGAAGGTGAGCGGGAAAGAGAGGGCCAGAATTCCTTGGGGTGGGGGGGGCTCATCCCCAGAGCCCCAGCTAGACTCCAGCCTCAGCCTCCACCCCATTTTCCCACCAGCCTTCTGGAATGGCCTTCAAAGGGAAGAAAGCAGGCCTGGGCCGTTCTTCTGTCCCTCCGTCCTGGCCCCCTTCCTGCTAACCCATCCTAAACATCCCAGAAAGCCTGAGGACTGCCTCCATCTTCGCTTGTAGGAAACACGAGGGGGGGAGGACTATTCACCAGCCCCTCCCCCGGGGGGAACAGGAGCTGCCATCTGGGGAGATTGGGATGGGAGGCAGTGGTGGGATTCAAATTTGTTTGATTCTGTGGGCGTGGCATGGCGGGTGTGGCATTGCTTGGTAGGCATAGCAAGGGAAGTTGCTGCAAAATCCCACTCCTTCCCCACTCCCCGTTAACCTGCTTTACAGCTCCGTTCTCCCGTGCAGGGCAACCCAAGAAAACCCAGCCGATCAGCTGGGACTCAATGGGAAGCAGAGAAGAGATGGGATTGTCAGGGCCAGTCAGAGGTGGGATTGTCCGGTTCTATGAACTACTCAAAATTTCCGCTACTGGTCGGAACCTACTGAATCCCACCTCCGATGAGAGGTCTCTGCCAGCTGAGCACAGATGGTGGCAGGACGAGCAGCCGCAGGGATTCTTTCTCAGATGGGCCCTGGGGCAGGTGCCTCTCTTGCTCCAGATTCAGATTCTCGGGGCGCCCCTGTAGGTGGGAGATCAGGAATAGGATTCTACCGGTTTGGACCAGTTCAGGCAAACCGGGTGTTAAATGTTCAACTGGTTCGCTGAACCGGTATTTGAACCGACTGTCTGGCCCTGCCCACCCCACCCACCCCTCCTAGGAGTCTCCACGCAGCCCATTTTCAATGCAGGTAAATGCTCTGGGAAGGGGAAAAAACAGTTCCCGCTTCCGGAAGTTGCTCCAGCGTCTGGAGGAGGCCCTAGGGGAAGCCTCTGGACCCTGGGGAAGGTGAAAAATGGCCCTCCGGAAGTTCCGGTAGGCCACGCCCACCCAGCAACTGGGCAGCCAACCGGTTACTGGGATTTTTGAATCCCACCCCCTGTGGGAGGTGCCCCGTGGGCTGCTGCAGGAAGAGGGGCCTGGACTCGCCCTGACTTCTTTCCCCTGGCTCTTGCAGGAACAAAGGAAGAACCGGCCATTACCTGCTGGGCTCCGTCCTACAATGGCACCTTGAACTGTTCCTGGAACTCTCAGAACGCGGCGATTTTTCTGGCCCGCCTGAAACACCAGTGAGTAGCCCTGACCCTCCTTCCTCTTGGCATTGTGCATTGAGCATCGCCGCAGCAAGGAAAAGGGGACCTCTGAGCATGCGGAGAGCCTCCACCCACTCCCGGTGCCTTCTCTTTGCAGGGACACAGAGGCTGAGCTGTGCTCCACGGAGGTGGCTCTCCCTGGGAACAGCAGGGTGCAGGTCCAGTTAAAGAATTGTTCCTTCTGTTCTTACGCCGAAGAAACGCCCGTCACGCCCCTCGTCCTGGTGCTGAAGGGGCTTTCTCGAGATGGCGGCTACAGCGAAGTGGAGAAGACCTTCTTCTTGTGGGATGTCGGTATGGATGGCACCCAGGGGTGGGCTGCAAATATTTCAGCAAGGGGTTCTCTGCCCGGTTGCTGGGTGGGTGTGGCCATGGTGGGCGTGGGTGTGGCCATGGTGGGCATGGGTGTGGCCATGGTGGGCGTGGCCTAGTTGGCCTACTGCACCATGGCAGGGGGGCGTTTTCGCCCTCCCCAGGCTCCAGAGGTTTTCCTCGAGCCTCCGGGAGGGTGAAAATGGCCTCCCGGGGCTCCGAAGGCTTTCCGGAAGCCAGAAACAGGCCCATTTCCAGCCTTCCCACACTTCCGGAAGGCCCATTTTTCACCCTCCCTGAGCCTCTGCCCGCACCCTACACACCTGAATCCAAAACGGGGGGCCCGTGGGAATTTCTGGGAGGGGCAGGGTGGGGTGGACGGGGCCAGCCAGGAGTGGGATTTGGGGGTTCTCCAAACTGTGAAGGATCTTAGCTAGGGGCTCTCCCGAACTCCTGCTAACCCCCAGCAGCCCATCCCTGATGGCACCAGCCTCCCCCGCCTTCTCACGCAGGACCCCCATCCCGGAGATTGGAAGGCCCAACCCAGCGGTCTGAGTCCTCCAACCATTGCATCTGTGACCCCCACACACACCTCTCTCCCGCTCCTGCCAGTCTCCCCCTCAGCTCACGAGTGACCTGTGACCCCCGGGGACGTTGCAGGGAGCTGGCAAACCTCTCTGGCCTCCCCTTCGATCAGTGTCCACTTGGGCAGAGCGTCTCCTGCCATAACTGACTACCCTCTGCCTTAGAAAATTTGGGGAGGGGTAGAAGAGCTGAGCCCCCTGACCTCAAAAGTTTCTTTCCTTGAAGGAAAGAAGAGGGGGGGATGGGCTCCTTCCAGGCTGGCTTTTTCGCCCTTTCTCTTGGGCCTCTGGAGGGAGGGGGCCAGGGGGCCAGGTGGAAAAGGTCTGATGGGACCCTTGCTCTCCTTGCAGTGAAGCCTGACGCTCCTGCCTACCTGAATATCACAGGGCGGAAGGTGTCCTGGGCTCCCCCTGCCTCCTGGGACCTGCCCACCACCTACTTCCCCTTGCAGTACAGCCTTCGGCTGGAGTCAGCTTCCGGCAGACACGAGAACTTTCTCCTCGTAAGTAAACCTTCTGGGCTTATCATTCATCCAGTGGTGGTATTCCATTTTTTTTTTTTTACTACCGGTTCTGTGGGTGTGGCTTGGTGGGCCTGATGTGGCTTGGTGGGTGTGGCATGGCTTGGTGGGCGTGCCTTGGTGGGCGGGGCAGGGGATGGATATTGCAAAATCCCATTCCCTCCCCACTCTTGGGGGAAGTAAAATCCCTGTAAAATTACTGTAAAATCCCCTGTAATCCCCTGTAAAATCCCCTGTACTGTAATTACTGTAAAATCCCCCTTCCCTCCCCACCCCCTAACCTGCTTTCCAGCTCCGTTCTCCCATGCAGGGCAACCAAAGGAGACCCAGCCAATCAGCTGGGACTCAATGGGAGGCAGAGAAGAGATGGGGTTGGCGGGGCCAGTCCGAGGTGGTATTTGTGGGTTCCCCAAACTACTCCAAATTTCCGCTTCCGGTTCTCTAGAACCGGTCCAAACCGGCTGAATAACACCTCTGCATTCATCCCATTGGGGGGACCGTCTGGATATCTTCGAGTGCCCCCCAAAGCCTATAAGAATCACATAATGTTCAACAGACTCGATCTCTGCATGAACCACGAGTCTCGGGGCGAAGTAGCATAAAGTGCATACAGTGAACAATTGGCTATGCTCATCCCCGGCAGCCATCGGGTGAGGTCCCAGATGATAGCACCCAGGCAGAGACCTGGGACAACTGTCCAGGGTCCTCCCTCACCTTCCCCACCCCCACGCCGGTATACTGTCACTGCACGGGGATGCTCTCTTGAGCCGCTGCAGCTCCTTCTACGGACATGTCCTTCGCCCAGCTGCCGAAGGAAGCCGAATCTTCCTTGTATTATGCCCAGCAGTAGGTACAGATGCCCCCTCCAGGTCAAAGGGAATGAAGGGGAACCGACCTTGCTGGGTAGGCCCCTTGGCCCTGGTGTCCCCTTCTCCCAGTTCAATGGGGCCTTCTTTCCGTTGCAGGCTGAGAAGGAGCTGATCACAGAACAGAAGTGGCACAAGGCGCAGATCCGCTGCCAGGACCCTTTGATCCAGTCGTCTTGGAGCTCTTGGCAGGAATGGAAGAAATGAGGACATAAGCTACAAACTCTCCCCCTCCCTCTGCAGCTCTGCCCCCTCCCCTCCCCGCCACTCGCATATGCAAAATAGGAGCCACCCAAGAGCAGGGGTCTCCAACCTTGGCCCCTTTAAGACTGGCGGACTTCAACTCCCAGAATTCCCCAGGCTTAAAGTGGCCAAGGTTGGAGACTCCTGCCCAAGAGCAATCATGGAAAGCACCTTTAACCCTCCCAGGGCAAAAGCCACCAAAAGGCTCACCTCTCCACCTGCACATTTGTCTGGAGACGGCCCAAGGAGGGGTGGGCTTTGTGAAAAGGGTAAGAAATCCGCTGCCCCCCCAGGCACAGCATCAGAGCTCAGCTGCCTGCCTCAGAGTCTGCCTCCCCCACCAATCAGACCCTGAGGGTTTCCCTCCTCTCCAACTGAAAGGGCCACCCCAATCTCTGCCTTTCTTGGAAAGCAAGCAGCCAAGGGTCAAATAAAGGTTGGTTCTTAATAATCCTCAGCGTTGTGCTCCTTCTAATTGCACGGAAGCCAGGTGGCGATGGCGCCACCTAGCTGCGTAATGAAACCTCTGCAAGTCCACCCCACGGTCCAACCCTTAATAGATCCATTTCCGTTGGAATGGCACCCACTGCAGGGTTAGCCTCCCTGGGCTGCCCCCCCCAATTTCTCCACACACACAACCCATTGGCCGTCCCCTCCCCCTGCAGGCCTGCCACTCTCGCCCAATCGAGGACTTCTGTTGTTTTCTGCCAGGGCATCCCTTACCAAGTGGGGAGCCCAGAGCAACAAAGCTGCTCCGCCCAGATGGGGCAGAGTCCACTGGTGGGATTGAAAAAAAATGTACTACCAGTTCTGTGGGCGTGGCTTGGTGGGCGTGGCTTGGTGGGCATGGCAGGGGAAGGATACTGCAAAAAACCCCATTCCCTCCCCTCACTAACCTGCTTTCCCTCACTAACCTGCTTTCCCTCACTAACCTGCTTTCCCTCACTAACCTGCTTTCCCTCACTAACCTGCTTTCCAGCTCTGTTCTCCTGGGCAGGGCAACCAAAGAAGACCCAGCCGATCAGCTGGGACTCAGTGGGAGGCAGAGAAGAGGTGGGGTTGGCAGGGCCAGTCGGAGATGGGATTTGCCGGTTCTCTGAACTACTCAAAATTTCCACTACCGGTTCTCCAGAACGGGCCAGAACCAGCTGAATACTACCTCTGGCTTCCACCCTCCAAGCAGCCAGTCTCAATCCTTGGTCGGTGAGGGAATGCCCACCTCTGCCAGGCCCGGCAGTCCCACTTCCACACGGAGAGGGGCTGGGGAGAGGGGGAGGAAGAGGCCAAGAAAAGTTGACCCAAAAGGTTCCCCTTCTCCCCCACACCCCCTTTTCAAGTGCAAAGGGGTGAGTGGAGCAGGCCTTCTCTCCCCTCACATTCTCTGTCTGAGACCAGGGACCCCCCCCCCGCTCCCACTGAGAGTTGGGGATTTTATGGGGGTGCTGATAAGTCCCACCTCTTCCCCTCTCCTCCCAGCAGTCTCCTAAAAGAAGGGAGCTCACACAGAACCCCCATCTTAGCCACCAGCCCGACTTCCTGCCACATCAAGGCCTGGGCAAGCACACTCCCTCTTCCCCAAAGCTCCCTTGGAGGGAGGGCTTCCCAGCTGGGGGTACGTGGGATCCTGTGCTGTCCAGACAGTTTATAGTTAATTGGGATAGTTAGTTAGGAATTGGGAGCTGTCCCCTTAAGGGAATGCATCGTGGTAAATGTAGTTAAGGTATCCTGGGAAATGTAGTCCATGTCATGTAGTCACATCTGTAATCCTGATTGACCCTTGGTGGGTTGGGGGACGTTCCTGCTTTCTTGCTCGGACCCCAGCAGTGTGCTGGCATCTCTCCCCTTTTCTCCACTATTATGGGATGATCACTTTCCTTTTACACCATAAAGTCAACTAATGCAGAGAATTGGGCATTGAGATGAATCTCGACGTAACTGTGAGTTATATTTGAGGATGCCTGATGAACCAATAAAGAGACTTTGTATGGATGCCTTTGCGGAGTTGAAGTCTGTCTACCTTAAATTCAGCTAGTAATTAAAGGACAGAACAGATCCAGAGCCCATATCCTCTCCTCCTGCCTCCACTTCCTAGTTCCTGACCAGGTTTGGCCTCCAGGCAAGCCAAAGAGGAAGCTCTGAATCCTGGCTTTATCCAGCTTCTCTTGCCTCAGATCGTCAGCTTTGAATCTTCAGTGTGCCTGGCATTTGCCGTGGGCAGTGCTACCCTTTTGATTCGCCCAGAAGGTGATTTCTTTTGAAGCTAGAAACGTTTCCTTGGAAGCCGCCTAACTTGCATTTGGCTCCCAGGTGATCAGAACTGAAAAATGCTGGTAGGATATTTCAAGCCAACCGGGAAGTTGTCCTTCAAGATCCAACTCAGGAGCTGCTGAGAAAACCAGAAAACCGCAGGGCAAGGGGTGCCCCAAACAATCTTTGAGGGTGCTGGGGGGGGGCTCATCAGTGACACAGGGACAAATTGCACCCAGACTCACGAAGAGCTCCAACTTCAGTCTCAGCTCCCTGGGCTTCAAAAATTTTAGCCAAGGGTTCTCTGCCCGGTTGCTGGGTGGGTGTGGCCATGATGGGCATGGCCTAGTCAGCCTCCTGCACCATGGTGGGTTTTGCCCTCCCTGGGCTCCGTTCCTCAAGCCTCCTGGAGGGTGAAAACAGCCTTCCTGAGCTCCGGAGGCTCTGTGGAAGCTGAAAACGGGCCCATTTCTGGCCTTTCTGAACTTCCGGGAGGCCATTTTTCACCCTCCCCGAGCCTCTGCACATGCCCTGCACTTATCTGCATCCAAAACAGGTCGCGTGGAGATTCCTGGGTGGGGAGGGGCTGGGGGGCAAGGCCAGCCAGGAGTGGGACTTGGGGATTCTCCGAACTGCACAGAATCTTAGCTAGGGGCTCTCCCGAACCCTTGCAAACCCCCAGCAACCCATCCTTTTCCCACATAGATTTTTAACAGTTGCAAAAAAAAACTCCAAACGGAATGTGCTGTCCAGACAGTATATAGGTAATAGGAATTGAGTTAGTTAAGTTAGAATTGGGAGCTGTCCCTTTAAGGGAATGCCTCATGGTAAATGTAGTTAATGCATCCTGGGAAATGTAGTTCATGTCATGTGGTCACATCTGTAATCCTGATTGGTCACTGAATTGACCCTTGGTTGGGTTGAGGGAGGTTCCTTCACTCTTGCCTGGACCCCAGCAGTGTGCTGGTGCCTCACCCCCTAGTTCCTTCGTTATGGGATGAAAGATCACTATTCTTTTACACTATGAAGTCAGCTGTGCAAAGAATTGGACATTAGATGGATCTCGACATAACCGTGAGTTACCTTGAGGATGCCTAATATAATCCAATAAAGAAACTTTGTATGGAAGACTTTGTAATCTTTATACATTCAGCCAGTAGTTATAAAAGACAGAACACGGAACCTTGCAGGAGGCTCCCTAGAAAAAAACAAAGAACAGAATCTTTGGCGTCTCACCAATGAATATATTTATGAGAAACGAGCGTTTCTGGGCTTCAGGCCATTTTGCCAAGTGTTCATCCTCATTCCGGTCGGTAGACATCCAGGTGATTTGGCAAGGGCTGGCAGGGGATGAGGCTGGAGGACCTCGAAGCAGCGATGCCCAGTCCCTGGTTCCTGCCCCATGGGCAGTTCTCATTCACAAAGCAACTGACCCACACTCCTATTGACTTGCAACCTGAAAGATATATTTCAAACAGCAGTAAAGAGCAAAGATTCTCAGTGAGTTGCCTTCATTTTGGAATTAAGAAGAAGAAAACGTGCTAACTGAAATTTTTTTAATGTAACACCAGAAAGCTAAACAAAATTGCATTTCAATAAAGTTTTAAATGGATAAAGGGGACAGATATTTTAGTGAACAGAATTTATTTTCTGATAAAAATGCTTTTAAAAATAGCAAAATTAATTAAATCAGATATCCATGGAAATTTTGAATTTGCAAATGAATTGGAGAAATCATTGGCATATAAAATGCAAAAAGAAAAGAAAGTGATACTAAAGTTACAAGAAGGAAATACTGTAATTAGAGATTATGCAAATCTGCAAAAAGTATTTCATATTTTTTATATTATAAAAAGTACTGTATTATACTACTTGATATAAAGGGCCAGAAATTTTGGAAAAAGTTGCAGAATAATTTAATGAAGATTACAGCGAATCAAATATTTGAATGGACATATAATAAAGGAACTCTGTGAAGTTATTAATAAAACTAAAATAGGAAATGCACCTGATCCAAATGGGTTGCCAGCCTCTTAGTAAAAGTGTTTTGAGGATGAGCTTTTAGTTTTTACAACAAACAATATTATTCTACAGAATGGAAAAATTCCTAATACTGGAAAGAGGCATTAATATCTAAAGAGGCACAAGACTGACTTTAGTAAAAAATAATATTTACCAATGTATTGAATAATGATTATAAACAATTTATAGTCATTATTCAGTAAAGATTATTCACAATTTTGACTGAAAGATTGAAGACAATTTTACAGGACTTTAATTATGAAGATCAATGCAGTTTTTATCTAAAAGACAATTATTAGAAATGCTTTGGATGTTCTGGAGAGCTGAAAGTACATAATAAAAAACAAGCTGCACAGATACTCTTAGATGCAGAGACGGTCTTTTATAATTTGAATTGGATTTTCTTGTTTACATTTCTGGAAGATATGAACCTTGGAGATAATTTTATTAAATTGGTAAGATCATACTACTCAGAAAGCACAATTGTTAATGGAGAACTAACAAAACCCTGAGAGAGTCAAAAATGAACAAAACACGGATGCCTGCTTTCTAAAATTTTGCTCATTTTAGTTCTTGAGGTAATAGAGCTATAAGACAGAGAATCTTGAGACCTAAGATTTAAAATGAAATTTATCAAACAAGGGCATTTGTGGATGATTTGGAAGTTACACTAGAAGGAGGTAGAAACATTAGTGGGAAA